TAAATTTTAATGCTGGCCAAAATTAAATATAATTTTTATTCCAAATTTTATCCAAATATTTATGATTTTCCAAACCAATATTTACGGGTCCCTGCATCTTTGTCACAATACCCTTTTCGTCACATGATCTCCATACCATACTAAAAATTTTTTTGGTGGGAAGTATCCCTTCAAGTTCAAGAACATTTACCGATAAAAAATTTTTACGCATTCTTGTCAGACATGTTTATGATGAGGATTTTATACTTTTCGCAGCAAGACTTTATTATGAGAAAAGGTATTACATGTATGCTATTATTATTGTTTCATAATTGTTCTTTACACTAAAATAATGAATAGCGACAAAACAGTAGCATATAACAATATACGTTAAATTAAAAAAATGTTAAAAAACAACGGATAATTAATTAATCTATCATAAAGAAGAGAGAAGTTCTCTCAAAAATGTAAATATATCCAATCTGGCGGTTCTTCTCTTCCCTCCATTGGAGAAAATAACGCTGCCATCTTTGCGTCTATTTTCTTATATAACTGATTTAAGTTTGGCTGACGTAGACCAGGATTACGTTTGACTGCGTGTATTCCAACGGCGCAAACAACTGTAAGCAATAGACCTGAGGGAATAATACCTCGCTTTGGAAATTGTATCGTGGTTAACGTCATTTTTGTTTGTGTTTGTTAGGTGATATAGATACTCAGTAAAAGTAAATTCAACTTTTTAGTATTTTTTTTTGTTTCGCGAATTTGGTTTGATGTGGTTTTATATAACGCGCGTCAATAGCAATCGATCACCTCATGAGAAAATCAGGAGATTAACAAGCAGTAAACATAAGTTTTCTCATTGGGCGAATGATATCTATATTCATAACACGAGTTTTTCTGGCATCAAATGACAGTTCACGTCATTTAGTCCCACAGTTTTTTATACATATTATTGAGATTCTAATTATTAATTTTATTAAATTTTTGCCTAATTTTGGGAACGCATCTATGAGAATGATATATTTTTTTTTACTGCATGTTCAACAGCAGCTCCCGTTAAATCATTACGTACTTTGCATTTTTGACGACCACCATACATTTACTTGATTAATTACTCAATCCGAAAGTATTACCTTCACTTTCGGAGTTAGTTTGGTTTTCGATAGGTAAGTCGCATTTTGGTTTTCAACTAATGAATTTTTCTTTTTTCGTTTGACATTTTACGATAATGATATGATGATAATTGCAGAACTATTATTCATATTAATATAAGATCTACATTGCCGCGTGGCGCATAACTTGCGGGTATAGGTGACGTGAACTGTACCGGTCATTTCATTCATTGTGCTATCGCTAATCGTCACTAACCAATAGAAGGCTAGTTTATGTATAATTGATTTATTTGGAACATGTGAATATTACGGATTATAAACATGTCATGAATATTTGGCGAGACATATTCTGCTAACAACTATTGGTCAGAAAATATATGAATACATGTATTTTTAACGTTAAGATATTTGTCTTAATTGCTTATTACTAGCAAATCTGTAAAATTCTCAGGAATTAGTTAATTCCAGAAATTTCCCAATGAATCTTCGATCCATTAAAATTCCATTACATAATAGTTATGTGAAAATGATTAATACATAAAAAAGGTCTTCTCTTAACTATAAAACCTTTTGCTTTTTTTTTCATTTTTTACTGGACAAAAGGTAATAAATGCGCGCAATTTTTTAAAGACTATAAATTTAAAAATACTACAATTTTTATTATTTTCCCAGAACAATCAAATACTCCAAAATTAACT